TTGCAATCCCCATCAGTGCGACGATCTTTGTTGGTTGTTGTGTTGTTACTGTATACGTTTGAAGCCTCGTTGGGCAGAGTCACTGGATTTTAAGTTTTTTTATTATTTACTGATGGATAATTTTTTTTTGTTTTGTTTTTTTTTTGTAGGCGTGATGTAATTTCACCTGCATAAAAATCTGATTTCAGCATCAAGAATTTCGTTTGCGTGTAATATTAAACTGAGAGAAAGGCAAAATTAATTATGTTTTAAAGGCGTTACGTTGTCTATGATTGTTACCACTGTGACGTCTACTACTGATGCAGTGAAAATGATTTGAACTTTAATCATCAGGTAATAATTTTATTACAATTTTTTTAATATCAAGTTTTCTTTTTCAATACATAAAAATCACTTAATGGTCTTTTGATAAGCGATTAAATCGTAACATTAATTTAATTAAAATTATAAATGTTAAATAATTCGACAAAGTGCAATTATTTCGTAAATATTTAAACATTTGATGTATCCAGGAATAAAAATTTTTTCCAAGAAATTCATTACAACGATATTTAAAAAAATATTTAAACACGTTTTTTATACTTGGACAGGTAAAAAGTTATTTAATTTAAAAACACAATAGATAATTTTATCAGAAAAATTTGTGTCTTTCAGGCATTGTGTTATGAGTAGTAAAGTAAAAAAAAAAATATTCCAGAAAAAAAAGTAAGTGAAAAAAAAATGTTTAAATCTTCCAAAAATCGCATAAATCGAAGCACTGTGACAACATCCTGTCTTGCACCCCCCATGAGCCAACAAAGATACTCCAAGCCATCGAACTAAAACAACCGGCAGCAAAATAAAAAAAAAACCCCATACGATAACTGCGGTACACCCCCAAGTTCCACCTTATAAATCTTGCAAAAGCGTGTACAGCCACACACAGTATAGCTGTAAAAAGACCAACGATCCCAGGCTCTCACGGACAAAACTCGTTCTCTCTCGCAGCGTAATTCGCGCGTCCGCCACTCCACGGGCCCGTGTTTATTTTTCAAACACGCGCAAGCACGACGCGAGCTTTCGACACGCCTCTGATCAAAGCTCGCGTCCACACGCACGTGTATCTATTATGTATCCGGTGAGCGCGAGGGTAATTTGTTACATGGTGCGATGACTCGTCATTTATCGCCGGACAACCGCGCGTTTGATGCTCAGAGATAAATCGCACACGTGTACGCGGAAGGGGAGGCATTTCTTGCTGATGCCGAGAGAGAGGGACTTTTAAGGAAGTTAATGGATCCCCCCGAGGGTGTTGATGGATATGGGCTTTGATGTCGCGTCAAAGGCTTTTTAACTCAATGTTTTTGCTGCTGGTGTTTTGTTGATGCGTGCGCGTGTTTTTGTGTGTGCGAATGAGAGATTTTTTTAATGAAAAAAAAAAAAAAAAGGAAGGAAAATTTACTACGCGGTGATGATTAGTTTTCTCTGGCTTATGTTTGGACGCATGAGTGACGCGGTGTGTCTTTTGTTGTGAAAGGAATTTTCATTTAATACACCAGCACTGAAATACTATACGTTTTATGTCGCATCTGTGGAAAATTTGTTTCAAAAAAAAAAAAAACACAAACACACTTAACGGTTCCCTCGAACAGCGATTCTATGAGAAGAAAAAATATTATTACTACATTGTCGACAAAATGAGCGAAAAAAAGAATTTTTCCACCCTTGGGTGGTTTTGGGAGGCTGGTACTTCCTCGGGCGAAAAAACAGTTTTCCGGAACTCGTTCGAAAAGTCTCCTTTACGAACCTCGCCTTCGGCTCGGGCCGCAAACCTCTCGGTTCGCAAACAGAGACTTTTCAAACTCGTAGGAAAACTACTATTTTCGGAAGAATATTATAAGGGGAAAGTGTGTACTGGAAATGGAAAAACCTTCCCGTACATTTATACTACTTTGATTTCTGTAGTAAGTATACGCCATTGAAGCAAAAAATGAAAATCAGAGATTTTTTTATTGGACCATGTTTTCCGATTTCACCGTAACTTTCATAAAAGTTTACTTCTACTTTTTCAGTGGTCGAGAGCTCGTGACAATTTGTTGGGTACGTTCATACAATAAATGTTTTAAAGTTCAGGGAGAAAACTACATTTATTTTTGTTTTATTTGGTGGAAAATGTAATTGATTTTACATTTGTGTGAGAATAATTTTGATTGTGATACTAAATTTACAATTTTTCTCACAACTTTTTGCACATACAATTTACTGGTGTATGAAATAAGTATACTCAAATAAGATTTTTTCTAAAATAAATAACAATTATAAAAGTAATGTACACAGTACAATTTTTTCGTAGTTTTTTAAAAACTTTTTTTCTCAAGACTCGACTCGTGAAACAGTACTTTTGTGAACGATTAATTTGTTTAAAGTATCCATAGAGTGCAACTTTGGCACTACTACGCCTTGGGCGCTGATTTCAGACCTCCGTATAAGATGACGATTATTTTAAAATGACGCCCAAACATTTTTTCGTACAGAGCACACAAAGTGCAAAACAATCATTGGCGGGTACTCCTTCGGCTCACATTTCGCATGCCATCTATTTCCGTGACGAGCTCTCCGATGCATCCCGCTCTCTTTTACCCGAAGCGCAATTTCGCCGAACGGAGGTTTGTTTTAATTGGCCCTCGAAAGTTAAACATCTGCATGCATCTCTCCGTTTTTTTTTTTTTTTTTTTTTTTTTCCTCTCCAAATAAATCTTGCGCTCGCGAGAGAGACATGAGGGGCACGTACAGCCGATAGGCGCGAGCGTCTATTATTCTCTCTCTCTCTGATGTATAGTGGTACAGCCCGTTTTTGTATCGACTTCCGAGAGCTACTGTTGCTTCCTAGACTAATTTTTTTTTTTTTCGCCCCAGTACACTCCGTAGGACTATTGTGTTATTTTTATAAAATTAAGAAAATTCTGTTTATCGATACGTGGATCACCTAATCATATATAAATTTATATGATGCTACATCGGTGCGAAAAAAAAAAAATAAAAGTCAAAAAATATATTTCAATCAGATTGCATTTCCACGTGATTTGACTGACAATCGCAAAGTGCCAATATATGTGTTTAAGAGGATATGTTGCAATCGATGATAGCGTAATAATCAAAGGGACGATCGGTGGCTGTGATTTCCCCGACAGAACTGGGACACGCCAACGCGAATAGAGACACACTAGTTGTGAATTTGCATGCACTCGAATAATCAAAATGTTATTCCTTTAATGTCGACAATGCATTGCGCATCAAGTACTGGATTCAATCAACAATTTAATACTTGTGTTGTACTGGTAAAATTCATATTCAAATATCAAGAAATAAAAAAAAAAAGTTTGAGGTACGAAAAACAAGCACAGGTTGCAGAAAATCTCGTTGGAATTCCGGAAAGTCGCCCTACATTGTAAATATATACACCTACATATTTGAGAAAGTTGAACATTTGCTCGATATACCAGCCTTGTAGGTATGTATATTTATTTGTAGCAGATTGGTCGAATGCATATACATGGGAAAAGGGAGTCCGGCAACAATCGGCGGAGTTAATCGATTCGGAGTGAATATCCGACTGCGCGTGCATTTACGAGGCTTTGGAAGGATATCGCAGTTGGGGTTGCTTTGTTGGGGGCGAGAGCTATAGGGCCATGGGATCTGTTATGGTTTTAGCGAAGGGAGCTTGGCCTCGCGCAGTTTATTGGCTGATGCAAGTTGATTTCGATGGGTTTTTCAAACACTGGGCTAATGGGCGATCGCGTGGCAATGACAGATGTGCGGACTCGGAGAGGGTGAGGTGTGGCGTTTGACGAAAATCCTCGGTGATTCGATTAGATTTTCAGAAATTGACGGCATCCATCGCGTTATCGTTCTCGATGACATTCAGCCGCCAATGCGTAGTTAGATCAATGTTTTGTCAGCTATAATTTCATTTCCATATAGTTTAACTGGTGTTTGTAATTATTATTTTTATCAACATCATCCAATTGTATTGATATTGAATTTATCGTATTTTCATGAGTACGAATAATATTTTTCATTCCAATGATGTGTTTAACAATTCATCGTTAGTTTTATTTTTGGATCTTTATATTTTTCCGAGAATTCAGATAATAACTGTGCAAAAAAAGGCTTGGAATATTTAGAAATAATTTTTTAAAAAAGGTCAGTAATACATTTGAATCATGAATTTAATGCGTCGTATGTGACGGATAAAAAAACACGCATACTTGGACGGATACATTTTTTAATTTTTTTCTACTACAATTTTTTGCTGAAACTGCAACACATTTCTTGTTATGAAAAATTTTTTTTTCAAGTAGTACTTACAACATAGTTTTTAACAAATTTTTTTTTCAGAAATAACAATGCATTGTAAATAAAACAATTTTTTTTAAATGTAGTAAAAAAATTTAAATTTAAGTATTCAAGTATTTAATATCAAATACTTTGCAATAAACTTCAGTATTTAAGACGTATTGCACTTATCTATAAGAAAAAAAAATTTTTCTTAATATTGTATTGTGAATCGTGATGAATAATAAATTTTTTCTGCAATAAATGTATGATTTCATTAAGGAAAACAAAATTGTAAAATAATTATGCCCAAGTCTGTTAACACGTATACTTGACATGGAAAGTGTTCCTCAAACATAACTTATTTTTATCAAAATAAAAATTCACACACATTTTTTACAGTGCTGTTGTGGAATCGTTATTGGTTATTTTAAGTGGTCAAAAGTCTTAGGTTATTGGTCACAAATTGTGGGTTTCCTTTTAAAATATCATTCCATTTTTAATTATGCTTTTTTACAGGAATAGTTATGGTATAATATTTTAATTTTAAAATTAACAAAAAATTTTTTGCATGGGTACAAACAAATACATAATTAACTCCATGGAAAACAGTATCTGAGGTTAGAAAAATTAACTTATGTAATAAACGTAGCGTAAAACTTCAAAGTCTTCGATCGAATTAAAGAATGAGAAACTCGGAGCAAAAATTTTCATTGAGCAACGATCGAGCAGCAGCTTTGGAACTTCTCAGACTTCAGGAAGCGGCGCAATTAGCCAACGACCAGCTCGCGTCTCGTCTGGAGTTTAAGAGAAATAAGAAGTTGTCTCACATTGTGCATGCATTGTTTCATCTAGCCCAATTTGTAGGTTTAAGTTTGAAAAAACTTTTTCTTTAAAGTTAACATTACCTTAATTATCACACAAAGGACATTTTTTTTTTATTATTTGAATTGACAAAATATTATACGAAAGGTAGGGTTATACATAGCGAAATAGTGTCGTAGAAAAAAATATTATTTAGTCCTTGAAATAAAAAATTTAGATCCTCAATAATTATTCTCTGCCTACTATTTAAGTACTACAAATTCTCAAAGATTAAAAAAAAAAAAGAAATTATAACTGTTTTGACAATTTTGAAATATTTAATATTTTTATGGTTTTGCTTAATTTTAATATGAAAAATCACTAACAAATTCATCGTCAATTCCTTAATTTCAGATAACAGCACTTACGGACGAAGTATTTCACCACGTGCATCACTCAATCAATCGTAAGATGCGTGAATCAAATCCAGCGATCCCAGAAGTGCCAGAAGAAAGAAATCCAGTTTTTTACGTCTACCCAGTTTGCATGGCAATCAGTTTTTTTTTCGGAATTCTTTGGTTAACTACCAAAATATTCAACCGCAAACCTATCATCGTGCGTTCATTTTTATTATTATTTCACGACAATCAGTTTATGACCCTAATGTTTAAAAAAATTTCCTACAAAAGGTTCTTCTTGGAAATGGATTGGGAGGACTTATGATGATAACTGGTGGGATTTGGGCGATGCGACACGCCGGAAAACACATAAACCTCAATGAGGTGTCCGACGAAGAATTACTCACTCATCCCACGTTCATCCACAACTTTGTAATGTGCATCATCTCCATTTGCGGGATGATTTTTTATTTCATACCGGCTTGGATTTTGTACGATGCTCACAAATGGGTAACTTGAATTATTCGTTGCGTATAAATTATGCAACGAAAGTAATTTGATGTTAACGCGTCATTGCAAATTTAATTTCAAGGACAAAAATTCAAAGCAACAGACGAACACAAGTCCAAACAGTCGAAAAAAATGTAAATGCAATCCGTCAACAAATCACAGTCCGATACACGAATCGCGAAAATCTTCTCCAGCGCGACTTCAAGTGACGAATAAGGTAATTTTTAATGGTATTTTTTTCATGCAAAAGAATTGCAAAGCATTCAAAAATCATTTCAGTTTAAAAATATTTAAATGTTTAAGCTTTAATGTACGTAAGGAATTTTTATAATTTAGAATGTGCAGGACGAGCCAGTTATTTTGCACTGCTGCTGTATTGATTATTACAGATATTTAAAATCTTCTTCATACCCAGAAAATTTGGCCCACGAGTTTGTTGTGATTCAAGTGATGTAGTGTAAATTATAAGCTGATATTAATGTTAATTTTTATAAATAATTATTTACTTTATACAAAACTAGTGTCATAGTCGAACAATATTTTTAAGAATAATGTCTGTGAGTCCGTAAATATTATTTAATGTTTATTAATTTATTTATTTGTTTCTGTACACATTTTTACATTTTTTTATAGTGCCTTTTCTTATAAATCAGTTTTACTTGAAGATTAGTTATCCTTAAATTATTAAAAAAAAATTTTTTTACAGCAATTTTTTACGCTCACCTTATTATGTGTAGTGTGAGTTAAATAAATGAGTGTAAAAAAATTATTTTTGAAATATTTGAACAAATGTCAAAAAATTTCAATTAAAAATGTAGCTCAGCAACTCTTAAAAATAAGATTATTTGAGAACTAAAAATAGAAAAATATGATATTAATTTTATATTTCAAAAGTGGGCTGAATAAATCTCCTTTTTTTTCTGCAATGGATTTTAAGGAGAAATATAAACTGTAGTAATAATTCTTTGTGTATCCATTAAGTAGATAACCCAGTATGAATTGTAATTAGTTTAAATCCACTAAGATGGTTTGAACAATGTTTTACTTAAATATTTTGGTACTATAAAAATAATGGTTCACAAAAAAAAGTTTACTTTGACAGATAATGAAATTTATATTTTCTGAATTAATATCATGTCACATTTTTAATATAAAAATAAGATTAATAATAATAATAATTTAACTTGGTGGTAAACATTGATAAATAAAAACTTATCTTCTCAAGATATATTACCGACATACGTTAAGCCCTACGACTATACGTCCGCTTAGAGTTATCTTGAGTTGGTGGAAACAAATGTTTTTTGATCGATTATGAAAAAAAATAATAATAATAATAATAATAAATTCGATAAGTGCAAAATCCAAGTATTACGTATTACAAAATTAAAAATTTTCTCTACACCTACAAATTTATTTTATATAAAAATAATCTTTAAAAAATTGTTTTGTAAAATTATCTTTGGAAATACAAACCAAGAGATATTATCTGTTATTGCAATATTCAGTGTTGCATGTTTTTATTATTATATGAGTCTATTTTTTAAAAATAATAATGTATTAGATATTTATCAACGCTAATACTGTACTGGAAAATATTCAAACCTAAATTTTTTTTTAATTTATGAGGAAGTGTTTAACAAATTAAGTTTTATTTGAGAAGAATCACAAAAACCAAAGATTAACATGTATTTTTCAGTGTTGGTAAAAAAGCGTTAACCGACGATAAAGACGGCTCTTGAGTTGCCTTGTCCATTTCGCAAGTTTTCTGCGATATGTTAAGCACCGTCAACTGCATGATAATATTGTATGACATCACCGGCGATATCTAACCAGCTTCAATTGCAGCAACAGCACATTGACACTTGTTCATTTTTACGGTGTTGGCAGATTTAAAATCAACTCAACGAGTATTTTCATCGTACGTTCGGTTTATTATTCATGAGAAACTGAAATATTTTCGGAATTAGTGGTGCTCTTGATATACAATTTAGTGAAAGGTTATCTTAGATTAACAATATGACCATATGAAGACCGTATTCAATTAATTATAAATATATGTACTTCTGCATTTGCTCCAACTTTAGTAACTTTCTTCAAGTTAGGCGATGTACTTTTTTTTCAAGACATTCCCATGTTGCATCTTATGGACTAAAATTGGACGAAAAATGGACAAAAAACGGGACATGAATAACAATATAAAATTATTACTTCTGAGTTCATTGATGTCTATTTTTTTTATTTTTTATTTTTTTTTTTTATCATTAGAAAAGCTCATGAAGAAATTTTAAGCTTTACGTTCCAAGCATTGCAATATTCGACCCCCAGAATAAAAGCTCTTTGGTATATAGAGTGTACAAAAATCGCAAAAACATATTTTGGAATTTCAGTCCTCTCCAAGTCACAATGAGAGATAAGTATGCGTCAGGACCGTAAAGGAATAGTAATTGTCGGCCAAAGGAGCCTCGAGCGAAAACAACTGAGCATTCCAAGCTAGAAAGAGAGACGCGCACAAACGTATCTATAGCTCTTTGTCCGGTGACCGGAGACCCACTGTACACATGTGCCTAGCGTATTGCCTTTGATTTTCTATAGCGCCTACGTTACACTGAATTATTTAATATTTTCTGGAGGAATAACGCTATGGTATTACTTTTTTTTCCAGATAACATTAAATCGATATAAAAAAAAATACATGTCCGATTTACTTTTTCACATGTGATGCACAGAATACATTGAGGTGATACACGTTTGTCTTTAATTTTTTTATTTTTTTCATGGCAAATATACAACTTGAGTAAATTCGTGAGGCTTACAACTGTCCTGTTGGAGTGGAAGTATAAATATGTTTTTTTTTTTTTTCGAGTTTCTCGCGTGACATTGTTATTCTACAGAAAAAACAAAAAATTCGCAGCACCAAAGTATGAGATGTACGCAACACACCACAATACACAGACGAATTTATTCAATAACTAGATAAAAAAAAAAAAGAAAAAAAAATCGAGGTGTAAAAAAATATATGACCCTACAATAAAAATCGTAATAAAAGTCAGAGCAAAGTTATCAATACATTTTTCCAAGAAAACAATGTCTCTGAGTCAATTCTTGCCGCCACACCCCCGTAACCTCTTGAGCGAAATTTTTTTTCACGTCACCGGGAAAAACCACGGACACACGCGCGGCTTCTCCAACTGGAAAAAAATGGTCTCGGGGGTGGAGAAAATCAAACGACCGTTATAATATCCTGCAGGACTCGCAACACCCAACGAGCGATTCCCCGATCAATCGAACCGATCTCATTAGGGAAACAAACAGCGCGCTCTTGTTCAAACATCCCTACATTTTATATATGCATGAGTATACACGTATACACGGGGATCGGAAAAAGGCCCATACAAAGTACATGTGGCGTGGTCCGAGTAGGAAAAACAATCCCAGATCCCAGAGGTGTACTCGCACACATACCGAAACTAAAAACACAGAGAGAGAAAGAAGAAAGGAAAAAAAAATAGAGGAAAAGGAAGAAGAGACTCGCAGAATTACATACACGTACGCACCGTAACGCGTTTGTAGCAGAGGTCGTGGGAGGGGTGGGGGGAGGGAAAGAATGAGAAAAGGGGGTGGGCAGACGAAGAAGAGGGAAAAAAAAGAGGAGAAGCGACGCCACGGAGAAGGCGCGTACACGTAACACACACGTACATGTATACGCTTTTAGCCGGAATCGGTACCGCGCTACGACCTACGACGCAGTCGTTCTCCAGCCGGCAATTGGTTATCACGTACATCGCCACACGCGCTCAGCAGATCCACTTCCTTTCCAGGGACAAATCTTACCCACGTACTACCGATTTTTCGATTTTTCCTGCAAACCGAGTGAGTATTTTATTTCACTTACCGATTTTTCTTTCGAGGGATATTACGACGCGGCGTCCTTTTTGCCTCGTTGTATACGTATACGTATATATACCTGTTGCGCTTCCACGGGCGACCTTGACTCTCCGTGTGTTTTGGTGCGATCGAATTACGAGCATCGATTCTTTTTTTTTGTTTTCGCTCGCGAAACCCTACACCGCATGTTTTGCCGATAAACGCGAATGATCCGAGGATCGACATCGAAAGTGCGGAGATCGGTCGAGATGAACGGACGCGCAGTTCATCCCAAAATGGCCCTTCGGAAGGGTATGGAAAATCGGATGGCGTCCACTCTTTGACGAAATCATCGCGCACGGAGTTTGTGTCGAGGTCGATTGTACACAGACCCCCTGCACGGCTAGCCGATTTTTTAATTATTCAAGCCTTGGACGCGATTTATCGGCTATAAGTGCGAAGCTTTTGCACCCTTGGGGAAAAAAAGGTGACGTTTCGAGAGATTTAGAAATTGATCGGGTAGAAAAAACAAAACAAAAAAGAAAAAAAAAAGAACGCTCGCAATGTTTACGACGCCGAGGCGTGGCTCTTTCCCCCGCTCGTTTGGATGCTTGTGTGTACACAAAAGCGGAGGGAAAAGGACGGAGGAGGAAGCGTAGGTATCGGCGAAAGAGAGAGAGAGAGAGAGAGGACGAAAGGCGCGGCTGTGTGTAAGAGAAAAATCCTGACTCCTCTGCTCGGCTGCTTCCTTTCGTCGTGATCGGTCAGCCAAGCGCGGAGGCACAATAATATCATGGCAGTACCTACACTCGGGGTGTTTTTTCGAGACATCCGTACTTTCATGCTCGAGTTTTTTTTTATCATTTACAACAAAAATATATGTTACATAGCAACTCGCAGCGATACGTGCGTGGAGAACAATGTTTGTTTGTGTTCTTAGGGACGCCTTCGCGTTGGGTATTCGTACAAGGAACTACATATGGACCGGCTCTGGCTCTTGTTGCAAAAGAGATAAGAATGAGGGGAAGGGCAGAGGGAAGAGAATGACGGAGAGGCGCGGCCCCCTCGCGAGAGAGTTGATGCGTCCGCTCTTTCCTCCGTAATGCGCGCATTATGGGTTATATATTTTTTTTCTCTCTCTCTTGAGCAATGAACTTGCGGAGGCGAGGCTGTTTAATGAAAGAGTTTTTTGGTCGTCTCGCGCAGGGTTTCAATCAAGTTTGATTGGGCGACGTGGCTGTGGGAAGTAATTGGCCTTGCCGTGTTCGTGTATTTGCGTCGTTGGGCTGACGATCGGCCCTTTTTGGCTTACCGATTTTTCGAGGATACACTGTGTTTTAAAACGTCTTGTTTGCACGATGCGAGTGATACTCGTGTGGGTCCGTGTCTTTGTAGCTTGGGAGAAATCTAATCTGGATATATCAAAAAGTAAATCGGAAAATTACTACGTATATCAAATCATTCATTACACAATTGTTTTTCTCTAAAAAAACATTTTTTCTTGCTCATTAAAAGCAATAATTCAGTATTTCAATAATGTTCCCAGGAAAAATAATGTTACTGAAATTTTGGACAGGGAAAAGAACTTACGAAACAAGTGTATTGTGGACATATTTAAACAATTTATTCTGAGAAAAGTTAATTTTTTTCATTCCAATTAAAAAAAATCATTGTATCACGAACCATGTCTTGTACTAGTTAACGAAAAAAAAAAAAAAAAATTGTTTTCCAACAAAAATATTACACTAACATAATTTTTTTTTTCTTTGAGTATTGAAAAATCAACAAAACAATCGTTCCAAAGTCTGCGCGTATAGCGCGTACCCAAAACGTTCTCCCACACACCCCGTTGCACCCAAAAGGAGCCGAGTATAGGCAGACAGTGCGCGTAAACACGCATAAGCTTGCGTATAAATATCCATCCGGGATCCAGTTTCCGAAACGCAAGCCTAACGTGGCTAACATAATACCCACACGCCCCTCAACAAAGGGCCTCAAGCTCAAAGTCAGTCAGTCTCGTTATACGTACAGTATGCGGTTGCACGTGCGTATACAATTATACATGTCAAATGAAAAAACGGATGCTTGTAATGTGGCTGTTGCTTTTCATGGAAATTTCAGTCCCTGCATTATGTTTATAGATATATATATATATATATATATACCCTGTTGCGGGTGATGTGTATTGTAGAACACGTGCGCGGGCACAGAGTTTTCCGTTGAGGCATACCAGCTGCCGTGTGTGTAATTCGTGTGCTTACGGTGCTTTTTTCTCTCTACTTCCGAAAATGAAAAACAGGGCAGGGGGGGGGCCTATAAATAGGGGCCTTCGTATCGTTATCGTAAACAAGTTGGTCCTCTGTGCTTGTCTGTTCTGTGGTTGCCGTTCAGTCACTTTTTTCATTCATCCGATAATTTGACAAGACAATGTAGTACTGTCTCACTGCTGTTCGGTCTTTTGATTGAGGACTTGATGTAAATATCAATAAGTAATCGATTAATTCTTTTTTATTTTTTTTATTTTTTAGCTGTACTGATTGTAGATTTGGAGGTGAAAAAACAATTTTTTATTTATATCCAACTATATGCTTGGAAATTAATGTAGTGTTATTATAATTAAGTTGTTAAAAAATGCAGTACTGTTCTCGGACTAGGGAATATTGTGGATTTTTGAAACGATTTAGAGGAAAATTATTTCTTCTAAAAATAAAGCGCGTTTTTTTGCTGAAAATTTTTTTTATTTTCATCACTATTAACAAGACAATTAGAAAAAAAAAAAAATCCGGCTGATGAATGCAATATACTTTAGAAATTGTTTAAAATGAAATATTTTAGTTGTATTTTAAGTACCTTGAATCTTTTTTATTCTTTAAATGTTTTTTTGCTGGTTTTAATTGAAAAAACATTTTTTTAGCTCGTATAATACATTACACTGTTAGTAAAAAAAGTTATAATAAAAAAAATTGAAAAAGTATCCTTTCCCAAATTTAACTGTTCTTCGTGTTCTATGCCCATTCCCGTAAATAATAAAAAAAAAAAAACCGTTTACTCGAATAAACATTAAAAATCGCTTTCTCACTCATCATTATTCGAAAGGACTGTTATTAAGTACACGAGCCATACTTCATTAGAGAGACAAAAATCGTTATTAGTTCCCGTCGGGCACCTCACACCGTATATACGAAAGGTGGACACCTGGCACACTTCGAGTGTTTTGTCCACCCATTGCTATACCCTCGCTCTGGAATACCTATACCCTCGTGTTTTGTCGCCTTCCATTTTTGGCTAACGAGTGTATAAGCTGTCGCGCCGTGTAGGTGTCCGCTCTTACTCTGGCGCGTCTCGTGTGCCTCTCTGGGAGAAAAGCGGCGAATAAAAAAATGTATTCACAACAAGCGCGATTTCACTAGCAATGTCCTGTTGTTGGGTAAGCGAGTCCCATGATTTGCTAAATTAAATTGGTTGAATTGAGATAACAATTACTCGAAACTGCCTCTTTCGTTGAATTTGCTTGAGGACTGGAATTTCGTTACGTTTATGATTATTATACAGAAAAAAAAAAAAAATTCAGATTCACCATAAATACAACTTGAAATATTTTTTGTTCTTTCCACCGATTTCGTGCTTGAAATATTAACGCAGAGAGCCGTTTGAGCGAAGCAAAAATAGAATTCTGCGCGGCGACCGTACGAATAATACTGGAATTTCCTCGAGTAGAAAAGCATCGCCGATTTGACCGAAAGAAACAAGGCGACTTTGATCGGGATTCGGTGAAAAACAGAAAGTCGATCTTATCTCCGATTTCACGCGACTAGACGAATTAGCTTCTGTTGATTTTATGTAGGCTGATAAGATTTTTCTCGGGTCGACAGGTGAGATATATTCGTTGGCTCTTATCAGTGCGAAATATAGTTCAGACGCATGCTTTGTCGTAGCTGACGTGTATTTGATTTTTTTTCTTTTTTTTATTCGTGCTTTTGTTACGTTAACATCAACGTTGATACTTAAAAGTTTCAAATTCACTTAAATTATTTTTAGTTTATTTAAATACGTATTTTATTCAAAGTATCGCCGAAAAAAGTAAAATGTGCGAAATACAAGAAAAAAATACATCCGGGAATGTAAAGAGTTTAACTGTGAGATACTGAGGCAGCACCAGAGTATTTCTCGGAAAAAGGTTAATAATCGCCGATGATTTACTCGAGGCAGTAAAGTTGTCTGTTCACGTTCGTAAAGTCCGATCTGGAAAGTCTCGAAAGTATCACACAAATTATCAGCTTTTTTTTTAAATTGTACTCAAACAAATTTAACTCCAATTAAACGTCGTGCTTGAAAAATCAGATCTTTAAATATTTTGTATTTTGTTTGACAATAACGTTAAAAAAATAAACAAAAATCTTCGAAGGCATTTCTTGTGTTTTTGAAAAAACTGATACTAGAAATTCACGATATCAACCAAAACTTTCTTTAATATTTTTATGCGGTATCAGTATCACACTAATTCTACAGTAACGATATCTGAATTCAATCTCTTATATTTATCCCAAT